ATGTTTTGTTGATATTCAGTAGTAAAGTTCGACTTACGACCATTTCGACTTAATGACCGGTTTCTCGGAACCGAACTCGGTCGTAAGTCAGATGGTAGGTGTATTAAACTGCATCTTCCACTTCTCCGACCACTACATCAGTCTATTCAGATGTTCCTGGAGTGCTCTAATGTCCTCGTCAGAATGAATTCGACGGCCTATTTTGGTGTCATCAACAGACTTGCTTATGTCACTCTTTATGCCCTCATCAATGTCGTTTTTGTACATTGTGAACAACAGGGGGCCCAACACTGACCACTGTGGAACACCGCTCGTGACGCTTCCCCACTCTGACTTCTCTCCATTTATGCAAACTCTCTGCTGCCTATTTGTCAACCATGCCTCCATCCAGGAAAAAATTTTTCCTCCTCTTCCACGTGCCTTTATTTTCCTCAATAGTCTCTGATGTGGGACCCTGTCAAAAGCCTTGCTGAGGTCCATATACACAATATCATATTCATTACCATGATCTACCTCCTCAAATACCTTAGTGAAAAAAGGCAGGAATGCCACTTTGTAAAGCCATGCTGAAATTTGTCGATTAATTTATGCTTTTCAAGGTGGCTACGCACTGCCTCGGCAATTACTGATTCCATAAATTTTCCCACTATGGAGGTTAGGCTTATTGGTCTATAGTTCGAAGCTGAGAACCTGTCACTTGCTTTGAAAATAGGTATCACATTTGCCATTTTCCACTTATCTAGCACCATGCCAGTCTATAGTGATATGCTGAAAAGATTAGCCAAAGGTTTGCTAAGCTGCTCTTTACATTCCTTTAGAACCCTTGCATACAGTTCATCAGGGCCTGGGGATTTGTTAGGTTTTAATTTATCTATTTGCCTAAGGACCATGTCACTTGTGACCCTAATCGTGCATAGTTTATCATCCTGTTCTACTTAATTTATTATTTCTGGAATATCGCTCGTATCTTCCTTTGTAAAAACTGAGAGGAAGTATGTGTTAAAAATTCTACACATTTCCTTATCACTGTCCGTGAGCTGACCCAAGTAACTTTTGAGTGGGCCTATCTTGTCCCAGATCTTACTTCTGTATACCTGAAAGAATCTTTTTGGGTTAGTCTTCAATTCTCTTGCAACTCTAACCTCATAATCTCTTTTTGCTTTTCTTATTTCCTTTTTTATTCTCTCTCTAACTAAATATATTGATTTCTTAATTGCACCTCTTCTCTTTTGCTTTGCCTATATATGCCTCTCTTTTGACCAATGAGATGTTTTAATCTATTGTTCATCCATTTAGGATCATTTTTGCTTGATCTGATTTCCCAATTTGGAACATAAGTTGTCTGAGCAGCTAGAACTATGCCCTGGAAAACGTCATATCAGCAATCATCGCCACCTACCTGACCCATAGCCAGGTCATTCCAGTTCAGCCCACCCAAGTAATTTTTCAGTCTTATGAAATGAGCCAAGCAGAAGTCAGGGACAGAAACTTGATTGCCATTGTTAGGGGAATTCCATGATATATTAAAACTGAGTGATTTGTGATCACTTTCCCCAAGCTCATCATTAACCTCAAGATTATTAATTAAAGTTTCCCTGCTGGCAAGAACCAAGTCAAGCAGGTTATTTGCTCTAGTTGGCTCTGTCACAAACTGTTTTAAAAAACAATCCTGAATCATATCAAGAAAGTCACTTGACTAAATTTCTTGTCAAATTGCTCCAGTCAGTCAGTCTATAGTTGAAATCTCCCATCATCACAACATTTTCGTATGTAGAGGCCTTACGAATGTCATCCCATAGGAATTTACCGCACTCCCTATCAAGATTTGGGGCCCTGTAAATCACACCCAAAATTAGTTTTTCACAGCCCTCGAGAAGCTGTAACCAAACAGATTCAATGGCTGACGCTTCTAATTTTATATCTTGTCTAACACAGCAATTTAAATTGTCTCTGACGTACATCGCTACTCCACCACCCTTCCTGTTGACCCTGTCAGTGTGGAATAATTTATAGCCTTGTATGTGATATTCAGAAGGCTTCTGTCTATCTTGCAGATTGAGGCAGGTCTCTGTTATAGCAAGGATATCTGTTTCCTCCATGCGTGTCATAAGAGGCAACTAAAATGCCGGGAGCAAGGGGCTAGTAACCCCTTCTCCTGTATATATTGCTAAATTTAAAAGGAGAAACTTTAGTTTTTTCTTATGGGCCACCCCACCTCAGTGGGATACGGCTGGTACGTTGAAAGAAGAAAGATCTGTTTCCTGCACTTGCAATTAATCTTAGCTCGTCTAACTTATTTCTTACACTCCTGCTATTAGTATAGTAGGCTTTAAGGGAGCTAGTCCCTTGCTGCCCTCTGCTGTCTCCCTTCATGATGAATGTCTTTTATACATTTACTGTTTTCAACCCTAGTGTTGCAACCTGACTGTTTCCCACACACACACCCATACCTCTATCAATTTAAAATCCTAGGCATTTCAGCAATGGCCCTCTCGATTGAGTTTGCAAGAGCTACCAGCCCTGCCCCAGAAAGATGTACCCCATCCCTTACATACATATCATGTTTGCCATAAAAGTTGTCCCCAGTTGTCAATGAATGGGATTGGAAGTTCCTTGCAGTTACACCAATTGCCCTAGACAACCATTCATTGCCCACCACCCTTCTAGGCAAGATGCTGTATATGATTGGGACCCCTTAATTAAATCTATTGCTGACCTGTACTTATCTAGCAGCTCTTCTCTCCTACCCTTCCCAGTATCATTTCCACCAGCATTGAGACAGATAATAGGCTTGTTCCCATTACCTGACATATTATCCAACCTGTTGACTATGTCATTAACACCAGCTCCAAGGAAGCACACACTATCTCTTTCCTTCTTATTCCTATTACAGAAAGCATGGTCCATATAACTTTCCTGTGAGTCACCAACCACAAGGATGCACTTGCCTCTATTTGCAGGGAAAGTAGTACCTTTACCTTCACTGGCCACTGAAGTACACTCATCCTGAAGAACAGAGAAGTGATTTCCTTCCTTCAAATCTTCTCTCTTAACTTTCCTTATTTTGATGCTCTTCCCATTACTGGGAACCACTTGCCACTTGTAGCAGGTGCTGGACTGCACCTCGCTGCTGGTAGCCTCGTTCCCCTCCACCGTTCTAGCTACCTCACACTCGCTCCCAGACCTATTGAGGTGAACCTTCAGCCTCCTGATTTCCTTCTGAAGAAGCAAGACTTCCTCCTTCAGCTCTCCAACCTCAGTTTTTAAAACACTGCAAAAGCAAGCCATGGCTTTGTAACCGCCCACACTAATCCCCAAAGCAGCTCAGGGCCTGTGACCTCACGTGACGACTGACCACTGTTTCCTCTTGCTTGGTATGTACTGCTTGAATGACAGTCTGCCTTTGAACAAAATCAAAGACTCATCAATAAGAAGCTTCCTGAAGGGATAAATATACATACAGCACTTTTGTTTCAGGTACATAAACACATTCCTGATCTTATATAACCTGTCGCTTCTGTTAGGCCTTATGTCTGAGAAGTGTAGCATATGTAATAGTAGCACAAATCTATTCATTGGTATAAAGTCATTGAAAGCTAGGGTTGAAATCGAGCGGTCTGTCGACCTGTATGTGTTGACACTGTGCTTATACACATAAGCATTATTGTGGCAAAGAGCAGATACATCTCTCCCACAGTTGTGTGCTTCCACTGGTGTAGGCGTGATCTTGGTGAAAGAATTGTTTGCCATGGTATACTCAAAGTATGTATTGCTTTCCTTGACAATAATGTCCATCAGGGGTTCATCAAAGAATAACTGAAAGCATTCCAGTTCAGTGGCATTGTTCCCAAGTGTACATGATGGCCGTATTCCACTTTGTATTTCATCAGAGTGATGGGGATTGGGAATAAAATTGTCACCTTGCTGCCAATCCCAGATGCAGTCTGCTGGTGGGTCCTGGATATTTACACGTAGTTGTGGTTGTGGGAGTATGGGGTTGGTTGAGGGTGGTTGTGGCTGTGCTGAGGAAGTAGTGTGGCCCACTGCTGGTGCCACATGACTCATGCCACCACCAGCACCACCACCTGCCACCCCGCTCACATTATTCATCCCCAATGTAACAATGTCGTCATCGTCACTATTAGTTCTTGGTGTAGGGCCACAGGATGTGGTCCGAAAATTACTACTACTACTTGGAATAACATGTGACACACTACCAGAATGCATGCTGCGTCGTGCATACTGCCACTTCACTGGAGAATATTTACCCTCACTGTCGCAACTAGAACTGCTTTCAGTAGCTTGGAAATCAGTATCATTATCACTTTCACTGCTCACATCTGAGTTTTGTACATGACGAAATAGTTTCCTCTTTTGTCCTGGTACAGGTGAACATGATTGAGACGGCCCAGCACCAGAGGTGGAAGGTTGTGGGTCATCTGGATTTTCATCATTAATTACGTTATCCTGGGCACTGCTTTCGGTCACACCCTATCCAAAACCATGAAATTCACTTTCGCTGGCGCTTCCATCGCTGTTAGAGCTATCACTTGGGAACAAAAAACCTCCAGTCTGCTGAGGAGTGAGGTGCTTCTTACCGCGAGGCTTGGTGAACAAGGATTAATTACCAAGATGGCGTTCCCACAGTGCACCACTGAGTCCCCGATTTTTTTCACAGGGTGCACACCCACCACGCAGACCCATTCTTTCACATGTAGGCCTACCAGCTTTCTCCTGCTTGATTTGAAACCGCTAGAATTTATTTGTATCAATACGTCAAACACGGTGGCTCATAAGATGTATATATACGACCAAAACAGTCAAAGGGTTAAAGATAGTCCGTGTCCCAGTGTTCCCTTAAGAAGACATGTTAATACATTCTCATATACTGGCAACACACCTGACAAAATTTGGTTCAAGACTTAATATTTAATTGTGTTTTAAATAAATCAGGATCTGGTTTTTTTTTTTTTTACTAAATGTTTTGAATGATATTGCAGTACTGGCGTGGAAATAGGACGCCAGATTTTGGACGTGAAATGTTGCAAATGCCCTTCGCGTGATATGGTAAATGAAGATAAAGGGCAGCAAAATTCCCTTGCCAGCACTGCTTTACGAACACATGAAGATGAAAAGAGAAAGGTAGTATTTTCTGTAGTGCATATTAATGACATAATTGTAAAATATTGATAAATGAGTAATATAATGAAAAGCCATGTAATTACTAGCATAAACAGCTTCTTGCTAATTTTTAATATTCACAAAGAAAATATATTTATTTCTAATGCACTATAAATATTTAAACGAGACATTTGTGCAGCATTTGAGTATCTTTATTTTAGAAGCATTTCACCAGCCAGTGGCTTCTTCAGTCCAATACAGAGAATGATAGAAGATGAGGAGTTTGAGACAATCAGTCCCTCAGCCAGGAGTTGATGTTTTCAGTCCATCAGTCTTGATAGCAGTTAGTATATTTATGGAGATAAGGCTTATTAACTGCAGACAGATGAAGTTGTTTAATATATTTATAGATGGGGTTGTAAAGGAAGTAAATGCTAGGGTGTTCGGGAGAGGGGTGGGATTAAATTTTGGGGAATCAAATTCAAAATGGGAATTGACACAGTTACTTTTTGCTGATGATACTGTGCTTATGGGAGATTCTAAAGAAAAATTTGCAAAGGTTAGTGGATAAGTTTGGGAATGTGTGTAAAGGTAGAAAGTTGAAAGTGAACATAGAAAAGAGTAAGGTGATGAGGATATCAAATGATTTAGATAAAGAAAAATTGGATATCAAATTGGGGAGGAGGAGTATGGAAGAAGTGAATGTTTTCAGATACTTGGGAGTTGACGTGTCGGCGGATGAATTTATGAAGGATGAGGTTAATCATAGAATTGATGAGGGAAAAAAGGTGAGTGGTGCGTTGAGGTATATGTGGAGTCAAAAAACGTTATCTATGGAGGCAAAGAAGGGAATGTATGAAAGTATAGTAGTACCAACACTCTTATATGGGTGTGAAGCTTGGGTGGTAAATGCAGTAGCGAGGAGACGGTTGGAGGCAGTGGAGATGTCCTGTTTAAGGGCAATGTGTGGTGTAAATATTATGCAGAAAATTCGGAGTGTGGAAATTAGGAAAAGGTGTGGAGTTAATAAAAGTATTAGTCAGAGAGCAGAAGAGGGGTTGTTGAGGTGGTTTGGTCATTTAGGGAGAATGGATTAAAGTAGAATGACATGGAAAGCATATAAATCTATAGGGTAAGGAAGGTGGGGTAGGGGTCGTCCTCGAAAGGGTTGGAGAGAGGGGGTAAAGGAGGTTTTGTGGGCAAGGGGCTTGGACTTCCAGCAAGCGTGCATGAGCGTGTTAGGTAGAAGTGAATGGAGACGAATGGTACTTGGGACCTGACGATCTGTTGGAGTGTGAGCAGGGTAATATTTAGTGAAGGGATTCAGGGAAACTGGTTATTTTCATATAGTTGGACTTGAGTCCTGGAAATGGGAAGTACAATGCCTGCACTTTAAAGGAGGGGTTTGGGATATTGGCAGTTTGGAGGGATATGTTGTGTATCTTTATATGTGTATGCTTCTATACTGTTGTATTCTGAGCACCTCTGCAAAAACAATGATAATGTGTGAGTGTGGTGAAAGTGTTGAATGATGATGAAAGTATTTTCTTTTTGGGGATTTTCTTTCTTTCTTTTTTTTGGTCACCTGCCTCGGTGGGAGACGGCCGACTTGTTGAAAAAAAAGAAAAAAAGTTGAAGTGGAGCAGTGGTAGGAGTCACTAGTGGAAAGAAGTCATGCCTATAGGTTAGGCAGTTCTGTCAGACACAGCAACATCTTAGGATCTTGATGTTGGGAATTTTTCAAAGTTTGCCTAACCTATAGGCCTGACCTACTTCACTAGTGGGTCTTTCCACTGGTAACTTTACCTACCACTACTCCATCTTATCTGTCTGCAGTACATCAGCCCCATCTCCGCAAATATGCTGCAATTTTATCAAGATTGTTGGACTGAACACATTGACTCCAGGCTTAGGGACTGATTACTTCAAACTCATCATCATCCACCATTCTCTGCATTGGACTGAAAAAACTGCTTGCTGGCAAAATGTTTCCAGAATAAAGATACCCAAATGTTGTACAAGTGTCTCATTTATCAGCTTGTTGCTTTTCTAAACCATTTATTAAAAAATTGACATTTAACTTGGTCGGACAGGAACTAATTCTGCAAAATTTAAAGTGTTAACCAGCTGTCTGTGCATGTTTCAATTTTCCTTCATAGAGGCTGCCTTCAAGCACTTCTTGACCTGAGGAAATTAAGCTGCAGACTCCTGAAATCTATCTGATTACTGCCCGTTTCTCAGGTGCTGTATGACCCCTATGGGCTTAGCACTTCCCCTGGAATATATTAATTATAATGTACTCTCACTATTTGTGGTTGCTAGGGTCCTAACCTTGTGGGCACTTTCATACCTGCTCGTAAAACTATGTATCGAGCCTACCTCCACCACCTCTTCTTCAAGATCATTCTATATGATACTGTACTTATTCTAGTGTGAGGGATAAATTCTAACTCTTTGACCTCCCTCTTTCGATTAATGTGAGCTAGCTGTTAACATACTTATGTTGGCCACCTGTATGGAATGAGGTTCTGCAGCATTGTGTAGCTCGTACATATTTATTGCCCTTTGAAGGTCTGCACAACTTGGTTAGGTGCTCAGTTACTCTTGTTGTGATTTATCCCCATGGTAATATGTATGGTCTCATCAGTCTTGTGTATGTATTCTCTGGAATATTTTGCTTAGCAAGGTTATATGACCTTGTTCTGCATTCCTCTTAGAATAGGAGAAATAGTTTGTGCAGCTGACATGAATACTCCAAGGTCTTTCACATATTCTTTTTTTTTTTCTATTTGATGATCATCTTTGGTTTTGTTTACAGTATCCTCTTTTGAGTTCTTCATACTTTCCATACCTAAGCAGCTGGAACTTATAAGCATTAAATGTTATGTTGTTTTCCACTGCCCGCTGGGAAATCCAGCTTATATCTTCATGCAATTCTTTTTCATGTTGTCTACCAACGAGACTTTCATGCTTATTTTGGTGTCTTCTGTAAATGATACAAAACTGTGGTGAATGTTTTAATCTGTGTCTGCTATGAGGATAAGAAGCAGTGGCGGTGACAATACCATGAAATTTTGATGCTGATTGGATGAGACCTTCTTGAGTTATGAGTAAAATTAAACCAAAAAGTTAGAGGAAGAAAAAAATAATTTAGGCAACATAATGTTTGACAATCAGACACGTGTGAAACATCTGGGTATCTTTATTGTCGATGTTTTACCAACCTGTGGCTCTATCAATACAAATTCAAGGACATAATTGGAAGACAGTAGAACTATATACAAAAGTTGAGGTAATCAGTCCCTCAGCTTTGGAGCTGGTGAAGAGCACCGTAGTTGTGAAGAGTCTGGAGCACAGGCAAGAAGGCTGGTGCTTATATAGTGATGTCATGTGGTGAGGGATGTGTAGCAGACGAAGACATTGTCACGGGTAGGTGGGGTTCCCCAATGGAAAGTAGGTCATACCCGAGGACGGGTCAGTAGTAGTTAAGAAGGTTGTAAAGACATTCTTGTTTTCATAATGTCCGTATTATATACCATTCATATACAACTTGTTGGACTGCAACATCATGGAATCTTGGTTCAGAGGACATCTCCACAGCTTTAACTATTACTAGCCCATCCCTCGGGTATGACATACTTCCACTGGGGAATCCTGCCTACCAGTGACAATGGCTTTGTCTGCTACACGTCCCTCACCATCCGACACCAGCATGTAAGTGCCAGCCTTCTTGCCTGTGCTCCAGACTCTTCATGACTATGGTGCTCTTCACCAGCTCCAAGGCTGAAGGACTAATTACATCATTTTTTGTATATAGTTCTACTGTCTGCACTCTGAAGCAGAGGTAGGGTTGTTGTAGTCCGAGGGTAATCTTAATTGTGATGTTAGCTCACTTTTGGCAAGACAGCTATTGAATGAATGATGGTAGATGTATTTTCTGGTTTGGCTCATCATACCTTGGTGGGAGACAGCTGTTGTTAAAAAATTGATCTTTTCAATAAATATTTCATTTTGATTATTTAGATAATGGTACTTATAAAAACTTATATTGTCAGATACAGAAATTGGCTTCTGAAATTAAAGTGGGGCAGAAGAGAAAAAGACCCAACATCAAGCTGGAACCAGGAACTGTGAGTGGCACTGTAAATATTCCAGTAAGTACACTGTACCATTTTAATTGTGCTCTATTTAATAAACACGATTACTGTTTAAGAAGTTAATCATTACAGTTTTATAGGTTACCAACTAATTAGTCAGGAAAGGTAATTTGAGTATAGTGTTTTACAAGAGGCTTTATCAGAGCTTCTCTCAGGTAGGTTCCTTGATGCTGGTGAGGGCTCTTGATCCAAGGAATTATAATTGTCCTTCAGTTTCTTGGACTGAACTCAGTTGCCTCCAATTCCCCAGACACTGTATTGATCCCTACAGGTTTAATGCTACCCCACAAATGTAATTTTTTTTTTTTAACTGTGCGTCTGTTAATTACTTGGTTCACAGCCTTACTCCAACAAATACTGGGTTAAGAAGGAGGTAGTAAGGTCTACAACTATTGAAAACCTTGATATATACATTGTGAAAATAGAGCAACGTGAGACTAGCTAGTCTCACGTAGCTACAATGACTAATCATAGATGTAAAACGACATGTGAGCAAACACTAGGACATATTTATTAGAAAATGTTTGTTCTGGGACCTTAACCCTTTGCAGGCAGGTGCTGTAGTACTATGTGATGAGCTCAGCTTAGATAAGCTGTGTGCAGTAAATTTTGGCCTACATATGAGAGAATGGGTCTTAGTGGTGAATGTGCACCATATAAAAAAGTCCTGCCTCATGCAGTGCATGATGGGAAAAACTGCGATTTTGCAGTGTACTTTCGTATGGTTTTTATGGTTGCATTCTCAGTTTCTTGGTCTCATTTGATAGAATGGAAAATATATTAGAGAAATAAGAAATTTTGATTAGTTTCAGGACAAAAAGTAGCCAATATTCCAGAGTGCATAAATGATGTCACTCGTCCAATATGCGTCCAGCTGGCCAGTCTAATACGCATTTAGGAATAAATTGACATTATTAGTACAATTTTTCAAAAATCAGTATCGCAAAACATAAATCTCTATATTTTGTGGGGAAAAAAAATTTAAAAATTTTTAAAGAAACATAATATGGGATAGGCCTTAGGATGAACTGATGAACAAGGAAATTTTTTTTGCTAGGAAGTTACATTGTTTTATTCGGACCCTATTTTTAACCCCTGACTGTCGAACCCCCCAAATCCTGAGGTGTCCCCGGGTGTCGAAAAATTTTCCGAAAAAAAAAAAAAAAATTTTTTGGAAATGGAGAGAACTTTTCCCCCGATTGTAATGACACCAAAAGAACGAAATTTGAGGAAAAATGATGGAATTACGCCTCGTGAAGTTAGCGCCTCGGGATTTTACGAATCGGGGATTTTTTCCACTTTTACTTTTATTTTTTGATTTCCCTTGACTGTTTCGGCCCCCCTCGAAACTGTCATTTTTTTGTCGCTCAATTTTTGAAAAAAAAAAAAAAAAAAATTTCTTTTAAATGTAGAGAACTTTTTTCCATGGTAATGACACCAAAAATTCGAAAATTTTCGAAAAACCCTGGAATTTTGCTCCCGCGGTTAGCGGGTTTGGGACATATGCGTACGGCATTTCGCCCACTTGAGCCCTATTTTCAGCAATTCCATTGTTCCAGTTGACCCAAAATCATACTATTTCTTTTGAAAACCATTTTTCTATCAGCTGATCAAGAAACCTCCCCTTTACTAATTTGACTACCAATATGGGGGCAGAAATTGGGAATTTGGCCAATTTCACACAAACAAAAAAGATCCAATTTCAAAATAGGGGCCAGAAAAAACAAGGGAGCTTCGTGGCACTAAAAAAACAATGCTCTGTTCATTTGTCACACCTAGGCCCCCTCTTATATTATTTTGCTTTCTATTTTTATTTTTTATTAACAAAAAAAAACAAAAAATTTTCTGTTAGCAGACTACTGCATTATGTAAAAATGGGATAAAAATTCATGCACTAGGAAAAAACTTAAATCCCCATTGAGGATTGGACGTGTGGTGTATTTTTTTTTTCTCCTGAACATTGGGAAAAATCGACATTTCCGCTACTTTGAGCTCAGTTTTAAGGGCGTTTTCACCAAAATAATAAAACACTCATTTTTGAAATTTTAACATTTTTTCACCCAAGCCATGAAAAAGCGAATACAACAATAAATACTTTTCGAAAATACACCTCAAAGTCGGCGTTTTATTTCCAAAAAAAAATTATCATTTTTTTTCATTACGATTTTTTTAGGTGGTCACACTGCCACACAGACCCATTCTCTCACTCGGGGCCCCCACTTTCCCCCGCTTGTTTTGAAGCCGCTAGAATTATGAAAAAATTTCAGAAACATGGCTCGTAAGACTATTATACGTCGAAAACAGTCATTCCATTTTTCCCACCGACCAAACTCATACCTATTTTTTTAAAACCCCATTTTTTGTACGATTGATACAAGAAACCCCCATTACCGATTTCAACTCCCCAAAAGGGGGTCAAAATTTGCAATTTGGCAAATTTTTTCACAAAAATTAAAAAGTAGAAAATTTTTAAAAATAGGGCCAAAAGGAACAATGCAGACATTCCGGGCTCTAAAAAAAAATTTTTTTGTTCATCAGTCATTTTTCCGGCCCCTCTAAATTTTCCTTGCTTTCTTTTTTAAATTTTTTTTCATTCAAAAAATAAAAGATTTACGGGTTAGCGCAAAATGAAAATTTTTAAAATTGTATAAATTTTGCAACCCTTTCATGACTGCATATTAGAAGGCTACTTGGACTTTTTTGGGAAAAATGACATCATTTGTTTACTTTGAAAGGGAAAAAATCAAAATTTCCCCTAATTTTGGCCCATTTCAATTTTCTTTCATAGTAAAACCAATCAAAATCACCTCTTTTTCTATAATGTGCTTTCCATTCTAAAAAATGAGACCAAGAAAACGAGAATACAACCATAAATACCATACAAAAATAGACCGCAAGTCGGCTTTTAAATTAAAAAAAAAACATGGGAGTTTTTTTTTCTCATTATGCACTGCCTGCTGAGGATTTTTTTAATATGGTGCACCCCGACCAACAGACCCCATTTCTCAATTGGGGCACCCTTTCTCTTTGCTTCATTTGAAGCCACTAGAATTGATGAGTAAATTTCAACACAGGGGCTTGTGGCGAACAGTGGAACCTCAAACTCAAATTAATCCGTTCCAACAGTTCAAAATTGAAAAGTCTGAAATTTTCGAAGCAATTTTCCCCCATAAGAAAAAGGGAAAATCAATTAATCTTTCCAGAAACCCAAAAATATTCACACAAAAAAATACATTTTATAGAGATTAATTAGTTTTAAAAACAAATCTGTATTTTTAATTATGTATTAAAAAAATAAAAAAACATTTTTACTTCCTTTATGAAATTTGGTGAGGGCATCGGGAAAAGATAGGGAGGAGGGAGAAGGGAGTTGGGTTAGTTTTGGAAGGAATCCATCTCCATGAGGACTTCAGGTAAAGCCCTTCGGGGGTTATTTCCCTTCTCGTTTTTAATGCCACTAGGCCAGTTTGAGAGCCCTGACCCCGTCTCAAAAAATAATGTCCCAGCCCCTCTGTTTCGGGCGCCTTTTTAACTTTCCCCCTAAAATGGGACAGGGTTCTGTCAGAACTTTTTGGCAAAGAGGGTTTGTTTCCTTGCCAGGGGGTACTTCTGCACAAACTTTTGTAATCATTCCACTGACACAAATCTCCTTAATCTTTGAAAAAGGCCCCTTTAAAACCATCCTTTATTAACCCCTTTCGCAACACAGCTTCCTGTTTTTTTCTTTCTTTGACGGATAAAACCCCATGGTTGACTTTTTTTTCCCCAACACCCTGGAAAACCCAAGTCTCTCCCCATCTCATACTTCTGTTTTTTTCCTTTTTCACACTAGGGTTTTTTTTCTCACTTTTTTTACCACGGGGGTACCACTACAAATTTTTTTTTGGGCCCAGGCGCTTATTCCATCCCACAGCACAAACACAACGAAATAATGTAAAATGCGTAAATGAGAGGCAGGTTAGGGTTCACTCAACTAAAAAAGCAATGCTCATGGCGCACCGGGGGGGCGGACAGAGCGGGGACGAAGGCCCATACCCGGGGTCCAAAAAAGGGGGGGTTTGATAATAGGGACACAGTTTTTTCCAAAAAATGGGCCCCTTTTTCGAAACATTCAATATGTATAGTTTTGATTTTTTAGGCTCCACTTATAACGACTGAAACTTTAAAGGGGTTTTTTTGGAAATTTTTAATTTTTTGTGAAAATTTGGGAAAATTACCAATTTCTGATCACTTGATTGGGGAGTTTAAAAAAGGTACATGGGCAGTTTCCTGTATTCAGTCAAGGAGGAAAGTAGTGAAATAGCAATGAATTTGGGCAACCCGGGAACAATGGGAATGGCTGAAAAATAGGGCTCGAGTGGTGAAATTATGATTTAAAATATCAGAATCAACTTTGCAAGAGCAAATTTAAAAGTTTTTTATAAAATTTCATACTTTTTTTTCTACCTTTAAAAATATTCCTTATTTCATAAGAATTTTTATTTTTTAATTTCTTTGACCCTGAGAGTGATTCTCAGATGGTGTTCTGACTCTGAAAGGGTTTAAAGGGTCACTGCTAGGTGGTCAGAGTGGTCTCTCTCCCAACGCTTTGGGGTTTTACTTTTCAGGAATAAAAAAGGTGGCTTTTAAAAATTTACCTTAGTGGGTTTAGAGTGAGTTTTAGGGGGGGAGTCTTGGAAACTAAACAAAATCATCTCTATTTCGTAACTGTTTTCCATTCTATCAAAGAGACCAAGAAAAGAAATAACCATAATACAACAAAAATACACCTCGAGTCTTTTTTAACCAAAAACACGGTCGGAGTTTTTTTTTTCATTATGCACTGGTGCTTGGGGTTTTTTTTTTTACATGCACCAGACCCATTCTCTCACTGTGGGCCCACCAGCTTTTTCCTGCTTATTTGAACCTCAGAATTATTGAGTATATATACGTCCGAAACACGGCAGTGAACGTATATGTACGGCCCCAAAAAAGTCAAAGGGTTGAACCAAAAACCTGGTTTACAATTTTTTTACCCATCATGCCTGCATGATGTTACCTGGAAGGGTTTCGGGGGGGGTTAACGCCCCGCACTCGTTGTGACCAGGGTTGCGGTGGCAGGGGCCCAAAAACAAACCGGGTGTATTGCTGGCCACATGTAAACTGACATAAAAACCAAGCCCCGGCTGGGTTTGATACTGACTTAAGGTCCTGTCCACACCCTTCTCGAAGACAGCTAGGGGTCTATTGGTAATCCCTCTTATGTGTGCTGGGAGGCAGTTGAATAGTCTTGGGCCTCTGACACTTAATGTGTTTTCTCTTAGTGCACTTGTGGCACCCCTGCTTTTCACTGGAGGGATGTTACATTGCCTGCCGAGTCTTTTGCTTTCGTAGAGAGAGATTTTTGTATGCAAATTTGATACTGATCCCTCTAGGATTTTCCAAGTGTATGCATCCTCTCCTCACCTAGAAACATACTCATTCACTAATAACTTGGACTTACGACAGGCTCTCTGACCAGTATGCATAACTAAATAATGCATATTAGAGCTTATTTTTCTCTATTCTGTATATTACAATACTGCCTCTCCTCACTTAATGGTGGAGTTCTGTTCCTAAGACCACATTTTTAAATAAATTCATCGCTAAGTGAGGCGCATACTATAATGGTAGTGGGTTTGTGTCGCTCATCTTTGATATTGCTTTAATGTCACCTTTGCACCATTTCTAACATTTCTGGTATGCTTTTAAATGTTTATACAGTAGTGTACTGTATATTGTAATAAACAGAATAGAGGAAATCAGCTCTAATATACATTATTTAGGCATTCATACTAGTCAGAGAGCCCGTCGTAAGTCTGGGGCGTCGGTAAACGAGTACATTGCTAAGTGAGGAGATTAGGATAATAGCTGAGGTTTTTGAGATGACAACATTTTGGGTCTCATTCATAAAAAATTAATTTGGGTTGTCGACCATTCTTTTCAAGATTGATGGACCGACAACATCGACTTCAAGGCTGAAGGGACTGATTACCTCAAACTCCTTGTGTTCTTCACGATTCTCCTTTGTGTGGACTGATGAAGCCACTGTGTGGCGAAACGTTTCATCACTAAAGATACCAAAGTGTTGCATGTGTGTCTAATTTATCGACCCTTAGTCTGGGCAGCAACTCGCTGAACACTGAGTCGTATTGGGACTTTAGTATCTCACTCATTTCTTGGTTGTCATCTGTGTATGTCCCATCTCGCCTAAGCAGGGGCCCAATACTGGATGTTGTTTTTTCCTTAGATTTGGCATAAGAAAAAGTATTTTGGGTTTTTTCAATTTCCTTTATGGCTTTTAGTTCTTCCTGTGATTCTTGTCTCCTGTAAGATTCCTTCAGTTCAATATTTGCAATTTCATTGGCCAGTGCCTCCCTTCATATTTCAGATATATTGGCCCCTCTCAGCAGCTCTGTGACTGGAAATAAATGGTGACTCTTCACCTATGTCTGTATAGGGAGTCTCTCTTTCTGGTTTACATCTCTTTCTTTTTCTTAATGGAATGTGCCTTGAGCAGATCTCAAGAGCCACACAGCTTATTTTTTCTAGGTTCAGATCTGTGTTGTTTAGGATATCTTCCCAGCTTATTTCATTGAGGACATGGTTGACTTGTTCCCATAGTAAAGGACCCAGAATATTACCTTGAGGAACCCCACATGTTATCGACATGGGTTCTGATTCTATGTTGTTGATCTTAAGAATTTGTTTCCTGTTGCTAAGGTAGGATTTAAACCAGTCTACAGTACCCATGCCGATAGCTTGTAGTTTCTTAACCCTTTCACTGTAGTGACCCCTGCTCACAAACTTGCTCCCAGTGGGCTTCAAAGCCCTGATACAATGGTACCAACAATGAAAGGGTAAATAAAGTTAACCATTTTGACTTACACAAGAAAGGTCATCACTGCCGCTTCTAAAGTGAAGAGCTGAAATTTACAACTCGACATCTTTACTTACACGTAGCCTAAACCACTTCATCAGAGCTTGATCTAGTTCTCAACATTTTCCTTCATTCATTTTACACATCTGTTTCTTTAAATCACTGTTAGCAAAGAAAAGTAATTTTTCTTTGTTTCTTTGTCATAAACTGTGGAAGAGCCAGTGCTGTATAATTCACACAAGCTTCTCACAGACACACTGCTGTCAAGTTTTTCCAGAAGTTCAACCTTGTCTTTCATGGACTTTGTACAGCGTTTGCTCTTTACACAACGAGAAGCATTTTCTTTATTCATTGGAACTATGTTTGGGGTTAAAGCGAGCAGGTTATAACAATAAACGGAGAAAAACAAATTGGAATTGCTAGCCTATGTTTGCAAGTGACACCAACAGTTTGTTCAGCAAGTACAGCAGGTTGGTGAGGCAACCCTGGAAATTTGAAGTTATGTTAGCCAAAATTAGTGCTGGATTAGTGATGGAACCAGATTAGTGATGGCCTACCGGATTAGTGATGTTTTGTACACGGTAGGCTTTATCAGGTTCACCTCTCAAGAAAACTGTCATCAATAAAAGTTCTACACAACTGTGTGTCTTCCCCTTACCATCATGTTGGTATCTCATACCGTACAATATTGATAATGTTTTGTAAATTTCTTTCAGGTTCCTGTTCGATATGCCAGCAGAGTCAGACACTATATAAACAACCTAGAACTGCTGGAGATCTGCAGTCAAGTCCATCCAAACGCTCTTTCATTTCCAGAGGAAGAACAGTATCATTAGGTAAGATGCAAATACTGAAGAGCATTTGTTTATAAAGATCCTTTATAAAAAAATTATGCAGTCTTCTAAAAAAAAAAATATGTTCTGCAAGTTTCCCTAGTTATAGAAAGGTACTGCTTATGCTATTTTCTCTGCTTGTTAAATTAAGAAAAAATTAGGATTGTAACTAAATTAAAAACTTGTAAGTGTAGTTCATTAACTTTCTTAGCTACTATTACATGGATACGCAGTCTCTGGACCCATTATGTGCCTCTTTTAATTTTTTGACTACTGTCTGCAGGATAGGGTGCATTATAAAGTTTTTAAGCCAGCTAGACTAGTATAGCAGTCTTCATGTTTAAATCTACCCTGACCTTGTCAAAAAACACTTCTTTCGTACATTGTCTCCTGTACAAGTCTACCCTAGTTGTTGAGGGACAGTAGAATATTTGAGAATTAGAATACTGTACTGGGTGTTGGCATTGTTAGACAAATTGACATGAGTAACTATTGCTACATTTACTCTCTGGGAACTCTTTATCAGGCTATTGCAAACAACAGTTTGCTTGTTGAAAATGGTATAAAATAACAAGAAGTTGATAAGTAAGATGCATGTGCAACTATTGTAGGCAGCAGGAGTAATGGTGAGGTAAAGATAATATAATATAGTCAGTCCATCAGTCTTGGAGAAATAGTTTGAGATGGTCAGTCCTTCAGCCTGGAAAAGAGTTCAGCTCCGTATTGTTTCAGACCATGGAGCTGAGCTCTTCTCCAGGCTGAGGACTGACCAAACATCAAACTATTCTCTGAGATTGATATACTGATTACATCAGCCCATTTTTCATTCGTCACTACTACTACTGCTGCCTACAATACATTCTTCTCTGTATTACACAAATAACCTGCACATAGGAGGGTGAGGGAGCCAGTATATATCATGTGCTAGTGTGACTTGTCAATGTTCCAAGTCAGACCAAAACGTCAGCATAAACTTTTATCTCCTATGTGTGGGGTTATTTGTATATTGTTCCAGTCATATAAGTAAGTTTATTCAGGTAAACAAAAATACAGTTACATAGATAAATTAGATACATATGCGACATTTGGGTATCTTTAATGAGGAAATGTTTCACCACACAGTGGCTTCATCAGTCCATACAAAGGAGAATGGTGAAGAACAGGAGGAGTTTGAGGTAACCAGTCCTTCAGCCTTGAGACAATGTGATCAGGCCATCAATCTTGAAAAGAATACAGCATATGTGCAAAGAAATGGCTTATATACTGTAGGCAGGAAAGGTGCAGCAGTTGTAGGTGGTATGACCTACTTCCACATTCGTCAAATGTGATAACACCTACGACTGCTGCACCTCTCTTGCCTGTAGTATATAAGCCATTTCTTCGCACATATCCTATATTCTTTTCAAGATTGATGGACTGATCACATCGACTCAAGGCTGAGGGACTGATTACTTCTAACGACTTCTGTTCTTCACCATTCTCCTTGCTATGGACTGATGAAGCTACTGTGTGGCAAAAAGTTTCCTCATTAAAGATACCCAAATATTGCACATGTCTAATTTATCAACTTGTCGGTTCTCTGGGCCATTCATCTACAGTTACATAGATTATCATACATAGCAGCATATGTGTAGAGTACCTAGGGTAACCCAAAAAAAGTCGAAGTTACTTTTTTGGGTCCTTTGTGCCTTTTTGTCCCTTGTAGTTGACTGATAAAGCCTACTGTGTAGTTTAAACATTTCAACAAAAAAAGATGCCCAGCTGACGCACATGTCTTACTCATCGATATTTTGCTTGCCAGAGGCTTTATCAAGCCAGTGTAAACAATTGAAAGGTGTAGTAGTGACGGTGGTGGTGGTTGTGGTATTGGTGGTTGTTAGGTGATGGCAGGGTCTATTGTACTGGTTTACAGAGAAGAAGCTGCCTTATATTTGCATAAAATGTACACATTGAAAAGATGTTGTAAATGCTGTTTCTATGCATTTTTGTTTTGGGAGTGTCCCATTTTTGGGAATATATGTACTTACTGACTTGACTGATTCGTGACTTAGTGTCAGTCTTCCACCCAAAATACCAGCTGCAACATACCTCTGAATTTTTTGTTGGACACACCCTCGACAAGTACACTGGACATTGTTACGCTTTCCAGGATAGCCCTTGAAGATGCCTGGTTCTTGGGTTCAGACCATGATAAATGATCCAGTACACCTAATCACTGGATAAGTGGGACTTGACATGAAGGATGAATATACAAAATGTTGAATTAACACTTTGACAGGCCCCATTGCTTGATGACCTCTCACTTGCCCTAATATCAACACTGCTATGCTTTAATCAAGTCTTGCCTGCCTTACACAATCTATTTAATGAACATGGGAAGGAAAGAAACTGGGCCAGTACCCAGGTAGAATATTTGGGATCTTCGGTGTGTTTTTTCTGGACAGGATGCATTCAACTAATGTCCTGATTGGTGATAAGAGCTATGATGATGCCCAAATGTTGTATTGTTACTGCTGACACTTGATTCACTAAAGTGCCTATAACATCAAGTCCATCCTTAGAATGTGGATTCTTGCTTAGGTCCAGAAAATCCTCTAACATTTAAAGTGAGTCTCGGTATTTTCTCGCACATTTTTCTTAATAGACCCTCTAGACATGTTAAACTATGGGTGGCTACTAATCTGGCTCCTTAGTTCTCATGGCACAGGAGGCATACATTCTGATGTGTACTGTTGGTGCTAAACTGAAGACTGTCCATGGACATTCAAGAGTCAGACTGCTCAGCCTGCATCAGGCCTCTACCCAGGGCATTGTTGCCAAACTGCTGGCAAAGATGAGAGAAGAGTACTTTCAGTATGTGAGAGAATGTCAGCCACACTTATATTCATAATACTCATCGATGATCTGAGACCCAGAAATCAACTGGGTATAAACTCATATTGCAAGTTTACAGTTAATGAATTCACGGGAAACCTAGCACATGGCATGTCTTGATGGGAACTCTACCTCAAGGCAGCTTGGGAGTACCATCAATTCCCCTCCCCTACTTTTACATAAAGGGGAATAACAGTCATGGGAACACTCCCTTTTTTCCCTCTTTTCAAGGAGGGGGAAAGGGGTTAAACAGACACTGTATAGAACATTCACAGGCTAAGCTGGTGGTTATCTGGTGTTGTATACATGTTGTTCAGGTTGTCTTGTGCATGCGTAGGTTTTTAAACATTTTTTTCCCTTAGTCACAATCTGGAATTCAAGGTTATGTACTTTGGTCCTAGTGAGTATGATGGATGTACTGGTTGCTATGGCAACACTGGTGTTGCTTTGTGAAAGTCGTTTGGTTGGTAGGAAAGATAACTTTTTTCCAAAGTGGTGTTAGTGTTTTTAGGGTTTTAAGGAAGGAAAGTATAGTTTGGTATGTATTGGAAGCATTCCTTGGGATTGCCATTTAACTTTGTTGAATCTTCTCTAAAGGTTATGGACATCAGAACGTCTGAAAGTAAATGTAAGAAAGTTTTTTCACATGCACTTGTGTAACATTGCTGGGGATAATAATTGTGAAACATTTAGTTTCGGTTGGCTTTATGTTGATCTATGCCAAAAAAAAAAGTACAGTAGTCCCCCAAAAAACAGGAAGGGCCCCCCCTTTATGGCGTTTCACTTTACGGCGTTCCGCAAAAACGACATTTCAAATTATGACCAAAACTCGCTATACGGCTCCCCCCACCTGACTTTCTAATATGGTCACCGTGCCCCACCCTGTTTGTTTACATTCTCCATGAGCTCAGTAAGCACTAAGTCTCTCCATTTTGTCTGAAAACTCCAAAATTTCAAATGTTTTTAAAAGTTATTCATATTTTATATATACTCTGATAATTATACTTATGTAAAACCTGTACCTAAATAAACTTACATACTGTGCTGGCATGCAGGTTTCACATTAAAATTGGTAAGTGTCTTATGTCTCCAGACGTCATATTAGTAATGATAATAAAAACATCGAGTCATTTAAATGTCGTATATTACGTTAATATACACATTTTCATTAATCCATCCATGATATTTTTTTTCAAAATTATATAATAAACACGATGCATAACATATAAATAAGATAAATACACCCCACAGTAGAATAAATAAACATAAATGTGAGATGTGGTACAGACGACTTGCACAAGTGACGCAATATTAGAAATGAAATAATAATAACAATACTCACCGAGTCTCATTAAATGTCGTATATTACGGTAATATACACATTTTCATTAAAACCATCCATGATATTTTTTCAAAATTTAAAATAAACACAAAACATAACATAAAAAGAATAAAAACACCCCAATAAGAATAAATAAACATAAAAATTAAAATGTTTGGAGCCCCAAACTTGACAAGTGACGGCCAAGAAAAATAAAAATTCCCAATCTACTAAGCATAAATGTGAATTCTTACTCTAACTTAAAAATTATTTTTCAAATTATTTAAAGTATTAATAAAAGTGATAAAACAACAAATAAATTACATAAATTATAAATGGGAACCAAAATAAATTTTAAAGAAACCAGAATAACCCCAAAAATAAAAGGAAATTTTTAATTTGGGGTACTAGCTTATTCCCTTTCAATTAGTAAATTAAATTAGGTTCCTAATTAATTCTATCATAACAATAGTGAGAAACCTGTACACCCCAAAAAAGTCGTGTACCCCAACCAGACTTCATTTTTTTTGTTTACAACCCCGCCCTGGGGGGTTTTTTTTAATAATTCTCCTTCTGAAACCCCTGTAAAAATATTCTTTCCCCTTCATTTTTTCGTTTTTTCATTTTCTTACTCCTGCCCCTTTTAATAACTACTGTTTAAGTATAAATTTTTCTTATTTATCTTTTATCTCTTTTTTATCCTGTAAATTTATACAAATGGAGAATTTGTATATGTGGGTGGGGGGGCCTGGTAAGGTAGCCTGGCTATTACCATAATACCACACTTGATTTCTTACAATAAATACTA